GATTCTTGCAAGACGACTTCAACAATCTCCTTTACAAAATCACAAAGTCAAATTTAACAAACTTTAAAACACAATCTGTAAATCATTTCGCAGATCTACACAAACCAAAATCGATATATATTTTTGAAAAACCTTTTCTGCAAAGCCTTTCAGAGATCTATAGAAACAAAGACAGATATATATTTTCCAGAAACCCTTTCTATAAAACCTTTGACCGATCAATTGAAAGCGAAACCATTGTCAGAGTAAAATATTTTACACAGAATACAGAGGAGTAAGAGCAAAAAATTTCCTCACATTCTCATCGATAAGCAACATGTCGACGCTCATCAGTTCGCCGGACCGACTGCTGTTCCGGCTTGTGTTTCTCGCCTCCCAGAAACGCAGAAGTCGTACCTCCGCCGTGGTGGAGCACCGACCCGCTTTCAAATCAGCAAGGAGTGTGATTGAGCTAGCCATTGCGGGATTAGGTTTACGTGTAAGATCTTCGAGAAAGCTTGGGATGAAATCGCCATTGCTAGATACACAGGTATTTATCATGTACCTAGAACGGGTTTAGGTTTCCGTCGAAAAGCATAAGAACAGGAGTGTAAGGGTCAAAGTGACAGTAAAGCACCCATTAATGGTGAGAAGCGTCGGTTACGTTTAGCCGGAGGCGCCGATAGAACCGATGAGGCAAAAGCAGAACAAATCGATGATAGCACAGAAACCCTAAAGAAGGTGGGCCGCCTTTAGAACATAAAGTTTGAGGCCCAACATCAAATCTTTTGATCAGATACAATATGACCAATCGACAAAATCAGGTTATGTTTAACCAAATGCCAAAGAACCAAACGACCAAATCCGGTACAATTTAATTTTGGGTGCTGACATGGCATTTTTTGCCCCCATGCTAAAATCTGATGTGGAGGGCCTAAGAAGAGACTAAACCTAGCTTTATTATATAAGATTNCCAACATCAAATCTTTTGATCAGATACAATATGACCAATCGACAAAATCAGGTTATGTTTAACCAAATGCCAAAGAACCAAACGACCAAATCCGGTACAATTTAATTTTGGGTGCTGACATGGCATTTTTTGCCCCCATGCTAAAATCTGATGTGGAGGGCCTAAGAAGAGACTAAACCTAGCTTTATTATATAAGATTGTGAAATTTAGCACTTTGTCATATGGATAATGGTCATTAATGAGAATATAATGTTTTATTTTGATAATTTTTTATTTTCTTATTTTTATTTTTTTATTTTTGATAACGGTAGAGATCCTAAAAAATGTATATACTTAAATACTAATCTTATGAGATCTTGTATCCAGATACGCAATTAATCCATTAATATGGCACGATTAGGTGACCAAGAGAACTTGGGACCGAAGCTTCACCTGGAGTTTTTTTGTTATATTTTTATTCTCTTACAGATAGTTAAATAGTTTGAGTTTTGAATCTATTTAAAAAACTTAGCGTATTAAAAAAATTTCGGGCCACTCGTGAACTTCTTAATGATATCACGTATTGTAGTAGATACCAAATATTGTTGTCTTCAACTCTTAGATCCAATAGAATATTTAAATCTCAACTAAACAATAAACCGGTGTTAGCACTTTCCTCAGATAACTCTTTAGTGCTTCACATAGTTATTGACGTTTTATGCTGGCAAAAAGAAAAAAACAGTGATGGTAAGTGTAAAGTTATTCACGGATATTTGGAATTATCTTAAGCACATGCATGATGCATATCTTTTGTTTATGTCTTATATAAAGTTCTCATCCAAAACGCAATTATTTCCCAGGGTCATTAAACTTAGAGATTACAGTTCTGCAAATAGTTATTATGCTCGTTATCTTAAGCACATGCATGCATGATATGCATATTGTTAATTTATGTCCTAATATAGAGTTCTCACCCAAACGCAGTTAATTTCTAATAGCTGCTACGTGACCAATGACCATTACACTTAGAATTTACAGTTTCTGTGACTGTCAATATATAGTTAGTCTGCTCATCTTTATAAAATAAATAATGACTTTTTCCCCACAAAACCTCTCCATCGACGACACAATTATTTCAACTAAATTGTAAATGATTTGACGCTTTGGTTTGCTAAAGTTTTCAACAACGTAATTTAGAGTTTACTATCTTTTTCATCACCTTAAAATATGGAATAAGCAAGTTTTTTTTTTGGAATAAGCAAGTTGCCCAACCAATATATATAATCGTTGTTCTATTTATATTTCCTTGAGGGTTGATCAGATGCGTCATGGTCGAATTTATAAGTTGTATTCTTTTGAATATCCTTTTATCCAGTCAGTTTATTGCATGTTTGCATTTCTTAGAATTTGTAAGTTTCTTTCTTGCAATTTTCCATTGTGTAACTTATCATTTGCTTTTGATATTAAAACTTGACGAATCTATATATCTAGTATATACATTTAATTTTGTCCGTATTATCGTTATAACAGATATACAAAAAAAATATTGACAACGTAAAGCGAGGACGCATATTTTTGTACCTTGCGTTACTAACGGGGCGGCATCTTAGTTACATTTTTTTTTTGAGAACTATCTTAGTTACATCTACGGCAAAAGAAACCAGTTTATTGATAGAGGGGATGCTTTATATGATCATGATGATAATTGTCTAAATTATCACATGGTCTAAAACCCCAAGTAACAACACATGCATGCATTATTTCATTTAATGAATGTAGATATTATATGAGTATGATCAATACATTATATAAGAAGTTATTCATTGCTGGCACCGCTCGTCGTGTTATTATGATTGGCTTAGATTACTACTGGTCAATTTACGAATGTTCTTCCTTTTAGAAAATATGGTGCATGATTGTTATTGGGTCAATTTTTCTTTTCTTAACAATTAAATGAGATATTCGGGGCTGCTAGGTTAGATGTGTCTAGGGGCGAAGCCAAACAGATTTTTCAGTGGGTGCACTTCTGATACAAAATAAAAACATATGCCATAGGAACTCCGAACTTGCAAAATCATGGATGCACAAGAGCACTATAATTATCTTTCCTAGCTGGTTTTGGTAATATTTTACATACTAAACACATAATATCAAAATTACGGATTCACTTGCCCCCTCAGTTCACGCACTGGCTTAGCTACTGATGTGTTAAATTCGAGTCTCGACAATTGAGAAGAGATATTTAGCAACCGACCCTTGTTTATTGGGAATAATTACATAATGAGTTAATTATAAAAAATGGTTCTTGACATTGTATAAGTGAAGCAAAATACAGAAAACTAATAACGTGATAATTATAAAATCAATTATAAAGTTTTTTTTGTTTTCCAACTGACCGTCGGACGGGTGATGTAGTTTATAGACAGAGTAAACAGACAAGAGTACCCTTGATTATGGAACATACACTATCATTAGCAAAATACAAAAATGATGTATATTTCAGTTATACATTTAATTTGTGTAACCAATTGCTTGATTAACACTAAAGGAAATAGTGGACTTGAGAAGAGTATATTCAGGAAAGCCTTCAATGCAATTAGTAGGTTTCACACAAGTCTGGATAACCAAGTGTGATTAGTTGTTAACCAATAACAGTCGTGTACAATGCCGTTTTTGTTGAGGTAAGATGTTTATTCTGAAGTAGGCAATGACGTAGTTGTTGAAGCAGACGTCGTATTGAGTGGTGAAGACCATGTGAAATCAAGATGCTGAGCTGAAACCGTGTAAACTTGAAGAACAATGATGTATCTTAGAGATATGTAAAGATGAATAAATTTGAGTAGCAAGTTTATAACTTAATGGAAAATGAATAAGTGTATTCCAAAAAAGGAAAGTTGCACTTATTAATATGGAAGATGTCCTTATATGTTGTCTTGGAGAGTAGGGTTTCAGGAACATGGAGAATAACTATAAGATAGCCATGAGGTCATCTGTAGAGACACATAGACATAAAGGTTGATCTTATAGAGAGAGAGAGAGAAGCTCTTAGAAGTGTTCTTGGGTCATGCTGAAGCAGTGGTTGAAGTACTTGACGATAGAGAGACATAAGCGAGTTGCTTAGGAATCTTTCAGTATAGTGTGCTAAGGTATTAACACTAGACGTGTAAAGCTGATTAAGCAGATCTTGTAATAGGGTGTACAAGGAGATTTCTAATAAAGCTATTGGTGTTTGCTTGTGTAACTTTTCCCTCGGTTTACCTTATGTATTACCTTATTGTGTTTTCATCTTGCACTTACAAGTGGTATCAGAGCGGGACACCTAAGTTATCAGTGTAATCCTGAAGGTGAAGACGAACACGGTTGTTTCGGTGCAGAAGGCAATTATGTTGAACGCGGACCAATATGGTTATTGGAAGGCTCGCATGAAGCAGATGATTCGAGGAATCAATGAAGATGTGTGGATAGCTATGGATATTGGTTAGGAGGAGCTTACCCTAGTCACAGAAGATGAGAAGAAGTCCAAGTCAAAAGAGGATTGGTCAGTGGCAGAGCGCAATGCATCAAAATTTAATGCAAATGAGTTGTCGCTGACTTTTGGAGCTGTTGAAGTAGAACAGTTTCAGCTGATTCAGGGGAGTACTTCAGCTAAAGAGGCGAGGGAGATTCTGCTGAATTCGTTTGAGGGAAATGAGAATGTCAAAAGGACACGCCTTGATCATCTTGGGTCGCAGTTTGAGAATCTCATATGGTCTGATAATGATTTTGTGGCGAGCTTTAGTGTCAAACTCAATGCTATGACGTATGAAGCATGTGTACTTGGGAAGAAGTACAAGGAGAAGAAGTTGGTAAAGAAGATACTACGCTGTCTTCCAGCGAACATTGGAGATCACAAGGCCGTCTTGCAGATGACTACAAATACGTATGAGCTCAAGTTTGATAAGCTTGTGGGTATGAAGAAGGCACAAGAGATGGAGACATACAATAGTTCAATCTCTACGCCAAGGAGTATATCGCTTGTAGCAGGAAATGATGCTGATAGACTTCTGAAGATTGAAGGTGATATTGGTATGATGGTCATGTATTTTGGTAGGATGAATCACTGTGGTGGAAGAAATCAGTATGATCGTTCAGGAAGTGGTCGTAACAGTAGCAGAAGAAGAGAAGGTACTAGGAGTGCGAAGGAGTTGGTCATGTGAGGGCAGACTGTCCTGTAGTAGAACGAAGAAAAATCAAGCGCCATGAATGTAGAGGTGTTGGACACACATGGCGTGAATGTACAAACTTAAAGAAGGAAAAAGGTGTTCCATTGCAGTCATCTGATGATTCAAAGTCTGAAGAAGATTGAAGGATGATGAAGAACTTTGTTGCATTTTGTGCTCACAAGGAGAAATCTAGTGAATCCTTGGATTCAGATGTCAGTACATACGCTGAGGATTATCATGTGCTGCTCAACAAGTGGTTGAATCTCAAGAATGAGTACCTAAGATTGCAACACGATCTGGTGTAGAGTTGTGAGCATGAGGAGAAACAAAGTGAACTCATAGAAGAACTTGTTAAAGAACTTACGAGTTTAAAATAGAAAAATAAGTCTCTTGAGCAGGAGGTTAGCAAGTTGAAAGGAGTTCCTACTGATGAACAAGACAGATCAAGAATGTTGAAACGTGATTTGGCTGAGAATCACAAACAGATCAGGAATGCTCAATAGTGGATCCAAGGAGTTGGATAAGATACTCTCGATGGGATAACCAGCCAAGGTGAATTGGGGACTGGGATATTCAAGGAGCTGAGAGTACTAAGGGAGTACAACAGAATGGGCTATCACACTTCGTATGGGGGAGCACCTTAGAAGTGAAGCCAAAGAAGCTTATCAGGAAGTACGTCGGGATGTATGACATGGAGTACGACAGGGTGTTCTACAGCTTGCAGCTGTGAGTAACAAGCCGAGGGTAGTACATCAGTGCAAGAACATGAAGGTCAGACAAGAAGGTTTGAAGCATGGTTGTGCATCTGGTACAAGGAAAGAGGCTAATCGGTGCATCAGCAACTGTGTCAAGCTAAACAAAAAGCAACATTGAATGTGCTATTGGTTCTGTGGGAAGGTTGGACACAAGAAGATGAAATGTTTTGCTCGTGAGAAGAGCAGAAACATGGCCAAAAGGGTGAACAAGACGTTCACTAAACCTAAAAGGATTGAAGAAGCGCCCTTAGCCAAGAATGGCTCACTTGATGAGATCAAGGATGAGACATCAGAAGAAGGGTGCAGCTCTGGTGAGAGTGATCTTGAGGTTAGCCAAGAAGCATCAAGTCTAGAATCAGGACGCTGAGTTGTTTGTGGTTCAAAGTGGAAGGAGATCGAAATGCGTCAAGAAATGATGCGAGATGATCTTCAAGAGGGTAATAGTGAAATCACTCCAAAACAGTAACAACGAGTGCAGAGTGCACTCGGTGTAGATGAGTAGGGGCTCAGGTCAAGAAGACCGCACATGAAGGAAGCCATGTCCTCAACAGAAGTGGGTCGAAAGGTAGTTTGACAGTTGCATCAGATCATGATGCAATACTTGTTATTCCGCTGCAGTAGGGGGCTGTGTCATGATTACACATGAAGAGACAGACAAGTGTGTCTGTGATGCAAGGCTTGACATCTAAGCATCTGTGTGTTTATCTTAGTATGCAATCAAACAGGGGAGAAGCAGTGACGTTCTGGTCCAAGGAATGCATATCTCATGGGGGAGAAAAGCATGGTGTTGGACGTTGTGAAGTAGATGGTGCTTATCTCATGGGGGAGAAAAGCATGGCGTGCTGCACATCTCGTGGGGGAGAAAAGCACATTTGGTATGGAAGGTTCCAAGTGAGGAACATGGTTGTTGAAACAGAAGGATGTTGTGCTTGACCGGCACACAAAGCTAAAAGCGAGAGATTGTTGATGTAATATGTTTGTCCTGAAGTAGTCGATGACATAGTTGCTGAAGCAGACGTCGTGTTGAGTGGTGAATACCATGTGGAGTCAAGATGTTGAGTTGGAGACATAAGCAATGATGTATCTTGGAGATATTGAAAGAGGAATAAACTTGAGGAGCAAGTTTATGACTTATGGAAAGATGAATAAGTACATTCTAAGAAAAGAAAAGTTGCACTTATTGATATGGAAGATGTCCATACGTGTTACTTGAAAACTAGGGTTTCGGAAACGTGAAAAATAACTATATGATAGCTAAGGGGTCGTCTGTAGAGAGACATAGACATAGATGCTGATCTTGTAGAGAGAGAGACACTCTTACAAGTGTTTTTGGGTTATGATGAATCAGTGGCTGAAGTATTTGACGGTAAAAATATATAAACGAGTAGGTTAGAAATCTTTTAGTATTGTGTGTTAGGGTGTTAACATTAGACATGTAAAATTGATTAAGCAGATCATATAATAGAATATATAAGATGATTTCTAATAAAGATATTAGTGTTAGTTTGCGTAACTTATCTCTTGGTTTATCTTATGTATTACCTTATTGTGTTTGTATCGCTTACAATTTCTCACTTTACTCTTCTGCTCTTATGATGAAATCTTTGTAACCCAAAGAGAGAGAACCAGAGACGTTGCGGTTTGAGATAATATGTTAAGAACAAAAAAGACGACAACAATGGGGCTATAAAATAAGTCAGTTTCATATTATGCTCAATGTCAAACTCACAACTCCTCAAATGAATTTACTTGAAAGGCTTCAGAATGTAATATTCATTCGGGCCATAGAAAGGCCGTAAAAGAATCAGCTTAATTGGGCCTTTCCACAAATAGAAAATTGCTCCTCCTCATCTTGTCACGTGGATGAAACATGGTCGTTAGATCAAAACATTTCAACGGTTAAAATCTGATCAAACGCCTCTAAGCAATCGTAATTCAACGGCCACAAATAGTCCCGCCATAAAAACAGATAAGAGATAGATAGTTAAAGAGATAACGTAACGTAGCTAGTAAGACCAGAGCCTACCAGAAAAAAATATCAATGGCTTCGCTCTCAATAGGAATCGCATTCGCGAACACCGTCCGTACACAGACTGTCCGTACAATCCCGAGAATTAATACACGAAGGAGCAAAATCTCCTGCGAATGGGTAAAGAACGAATCTTAGTCTATCTTTGTTCTTGATCTTGTCTGAAAGTTTTCTTGTTAATCCATAAGGAAGGATCCGAAGGGTATCTTAGGTCCGGCTCAAACTGGCCATATCGCTCGACTTGAGTTTAAACGCAGGCTAGAGAGAGACTCAGAGGCAAAAGAGGCTTTTCAGAAACAACTCCGTGAAGAGAGAGAGCGTCGTCAAGCTCTTAGAGAGGTAAATAAATATTTGCTATATCATACTGAAATGGGTTGTTACATAATTGTATCCCATGCTATTGTTTTACTGATGTTGCTTTATATCGTCATGGGTTTTGTCAGTCTAGAGTTGTACCAGATACTTCCGCTGAGCTGATTGAGTACTTTCTTGACACGGAAGCTCAGGAGATTGAGTACGAAATCGCTAGGCTTCGTGGAAGGTTAGTGAAAATGTTTTAGTTCTCTACTTTCTCAAGTGGGTTCATCAAAATATTTATTAACGGATTTTACCACTAAAGTGTAATAAGTTACTTAGTTTATTTTTTATATAATTTTTTTTGTTTGATAAATTGTTACTTGGTTTATTACAAGACTGAATTAAGTTACAAATGTCTTAATTAATAAAGATCACTTTTACTGTAAATTGCAGGTTAAATGATGAGTTCTTTGCGCAAATTCGACTTGAAATTGGGCAAATCCGGTTTGCTGTGACAAAGACCGCGGTATAGTGTTCTTCAATCATCATTTGAATTCATCACCTGTGGAATCGACAGCCAATTAACTAATCTTTTGTTTTTTTTCATCATGCAGGAAAATGAAGACAGATTGATTGAGCTTGAATCACTTCAAAAAGCCTTAGAAGAAGGAATAGGTTTGTAATCTTTTTTTTTTGGTCTTAACTATTGCATCATCTTATTACTGGTTTTGATTACTTCTCTTGACTTTTTATTATGTTGCTTTGCAGAGGCTTATGACAAAATGCAAAAGGAGCTTATGACGGCTACAAATAGCTTAACCAAGATCTTAACCTCAACCGATATAAAAACAACAGTATGTCTTACCTTAAACACTATCATGATGCTTCATGAAAGGATTTTGAATCATTGTTTTGATTTTTTGTTTTGTTATTACAGTTGTTGGATATGGTGGAGAAAAACGAGATCAACAGGTCTTTGTTGACACTTCTTGATGAAAACATAGCAAATGCATACAGAGGAAACCAGGTTAGTAGACCCGGTTGATTTTATTAAATTGACAAAAGAAAAATGGTTCTGGTTCGAATCTTTTATTTAACTAAACCGAATTCTGTATTCTAGATGACTAGAGGTAGGCATAAATACAATATAACCGAACCGTAAACAGAGTGAAGCTTTAATAATAGCTTACACATTAGAGAGGTCTTTATGCTGATTTAACCGTAAACCGAAAGAAAATTCAGTTCTAGCCTTAAACCGAACAGAAAATTGAAAGTGGAACCCTATTTAAGAATTTTAAAGCTTTTCATTGTCGTATAAAGTCAAAATTTTTCTTTTTGGTATCGTAGAAAGAAGCAGGAGATTACATGGAGAAGGTGCGTGCTTCGGTTCTAAAGTACTTGACGGTGTAGGATCATATGAGTGACGAGTCTTCAAAGATTTCTCAGTCTCTGGAATGTTTACTATGCTCGGGTAAAATGTATTTATATTTATTTTGTTGAGTAAAATGTATTTCTTTTTCCCGAACAAATGTTTCTCTAAGGTCACTTCAGATCTCTTAAATAAAAATATATGCTTAAATTTTAGTACTAATTTTCACATTTAACCGGTTTAACATGTATACCATGTCTCCAAATATATCTTTCGCAAGCTGAGCTCTTTTTTCATACATTGCATGTCTGAGTCATTATGGGACCATGTTCGCTGGAACGATCAAATCTCTTATATTCGTAATAAGTGAAATGAATCAATCATTTATAAAGTTGTGGAAAAAGAAAATAGATGAATCAAGTATGGGAAACTCAAGGGAACAATAATTAAAGAAAACAATTGTGACATTATGATGAATTTGAAAACTTATTGGTTCCAGCTTCCAAGCATGGCCTTTCATATCATCTTTAGCTTTTATGTTATTTTCAACTGTGACAAATTATCCTAACTATTACGTTCACATGCATCTGTTTTTTTTTGGTGGGTTCGTCTGTGTGTCGACTTCTAGGGTTCCGATCTGTAAGTCTTTGAATTTCCCTTTTTTTTGTTGATGGTCCTTTGAGTCCGTTCCGCATATGCATTCTTTGTTTACTTTCTAGTGGTGATTTTGTCATTGTTTGAAGGTTATGCTCTTCCTTGACTTCTTTAGCAACATAAGACCATCTCCATCCATTAGTACCCCTAAAGGATACTTAAAAATAAATAAATGTTTAATTTTGTGATGGGAAAGTTTAAGTACCCCTATTAGTCTATTTAATTTTCTTATTCTCTATTGGTAGGACCTCATAGAGGTTCTAAAAAAAAAAATTTAAAGTTGAATAGTTTTAATTATTAAAAGATACATATAATTTTATTAAACATGACATAAAAACATATTAAAAATAAAAATACAAATAGTAAACGACAAAGGCGGATTAGTAGAAATCTTGATCGGTTCTAAATTTTTGCCATATATTCTCAACCAAATCTGCTTTCAATCGTTGATGTATTGTTATATCACGAATTTGATTCCGAATGCTCATCATATTCCCGAGATTTGAAGGCATATCTGTAGAAAACGAAAAATCCACTTCTGAACTTCGGTTTGAATCGGGATGTTGGAAAACTGAAACATCAAACTGAGTGAACCGATCTCGTTCGTCTGCTACGATCATATTATGTAGAATGATACATGCTCTCATGATCATTCCTATTTTTATTTTATCCCACAAAAGAGCTGGATTTTTTACTATGGCAAATCGAGCTTGCAAGACCCCAAAAGCTCGGTCGACATCTTTACGTACAACTTCTTGATGTGTAGCGAATAAGGATGCTTTCGGATCTTGCGGAAGTTGAATAGATTGGATAAAAGTAACCCAATTTGGATAAATACCGTCGGTGAGATAGTAAGCCATTCGGTACTGGTGTCCGTTAACAGTGTAATTAACTTTTGGAGCTTTACCTTGTAATATATCATCAAAAACTGGTGATCGATCAAGAACATTGATATCGTTTAATGTACCTGGAGGTCCGAAAAATGCATGCCATATCCAGAGGTCTTGTGAAGCTACAGCCTCTAGAACAATGGTTAGCTTTACTGATCCACGTGTATATTGACCTATCCATGCGGTGGGATAATTTTTCCACTCCCAATGCATACAATCAATGCTTCCTATCATCCCAAGAAATCCGCGTAGTTCTCCAATATCAAGTAGTCGTTGAAGATCTTCTGGCGTGGGTCTTCTTAGATACTCATCTCCAAATAAATTTATGATTCCTTGAACAAAATGTTCTAAGCATAAAAGCGCGGTGGTCTCACCAAGTCGGAGGTATTCGTCGACCGCATCAGCTGGGCAACCATATGCCATCATACGAATTTCAGTTGTTGCCTTCTGTAACGGAGAGTGACCGAACCTTCCAGTAGCATCTTTTCTCTGTTGAAAGTATTGAATTTCAGCGGAGAGTCGATCAACAATACGCATGAACAATGACTTGTTCATTCTAAAACAGCGTCGAAACACATGAGACGGATATGTTGCATCTTCACTAAAATAGTCGTTCCATAATTGTATGTGCTCTTGTTCTCGTTGTCTTTCAATGTAGCTCGTTTATTTTTCATCTTGATGCTTCGTGACGATTTTCAGCCCGAGTGAGGAGATTCTCGAATTTTTGATCGAACATTTCATCAAACTTTTCATCCATATAGTCTTCGAAATTATTAGAAGAAGAAGCATCCATTGAGTATAAGTGAAATGGTAAGATAAAGAAAATTTAGAGGATGAGAAACGATAATTTGAAATGGTAATTTGAAATGGTAAGAAAAAGAGAATTTTTGAATTGAGAAACACTGATTTTTTAATTTAGATTCACTTCTTTTTACAAACGATACCTCACAACTTGTATCTGAGAAATGAGACTCTGGTTTTTACAAAAGATACCTCACAACTTATACACAACTCACAACTTATATGCAACAATTTTTTTTAAAAAAATTTACTAAAATGTCTTGGCCTTGAGTGTCACGAGTTGTCCTTAATTGGCTTTGAGTGTCACGAGCCTCGGTCTTGGCTGCTTCTGTCACAAGAAGTAGTTACGTCTTGGCTTTATTCTCCACCTGCAAGAGACACAAGCAAAACGTGGTTAAGTATTGTCCAACTAACAAAGCCACGACAAAACAGAACCAAATTAACATTCAAGAACAATTTATGAAACACAGAACCATTAACTTTCATTAAACCTGAGACAGAAAACATCCATTAACCATAAAACATAAAATTAAGACATACAAACTTAAACAGAAACAAAATACAAACTTAAGACATAAACTTAAGACATACAAAATTAAGACAGAAACTTAAGACATAAACAAATACAGACTTGTTACTTAAGACTCAAGCTAAGACATCTCTAATGAGCTTATCTTTTAATTGCATTTCGAGTTCATTTAATGGCTCAGACTTGGCAATTAGGCTCTCAAGCAGTTTCTGCTTGCTAAGAGTGTTCTTAAATTTAAATTCTTTTTGCCTAATCTCCCAAAAGCTGAGAAACTCCATCTTCTCCTTCTCTTATGCTTCTTTGCTCGCTTTCTTCCCCACTGTCTTCTTTCCTTTTGCCTTTGCCGCTTTAACACCTTCTGGTTGTGCCATTGCTTCATCCTCTCTGTGACTTACATGCACTAAGGTTGATGATTGATCATCCAACTTCCTTCTTTTTGACTGAATTTTAGCTTTGGTAGCAGACGATGCAATCCATTTCTGATCATATCGTAGCTCTAACCAGGCATGTTCTAGAGTGAACTTGGCGCGGTTATCACTGAAGAAAATCTTGTGAGCATCGCTCAAAACGTCATTCTCGCTGTGTCCACTCCCGTTATGCTTCTTTGCCGCTTCATATCACCCAACAAACTTACAGACACCCTCATTAATCTTCCCCCATCTCGCTTTACATTGTGTTGGCCCCCTCTTTTGCGCGCCAACCACATTTCGACTCACAGAAAAATAAGCAGAAATCCGCTTCCAAAAGGCAGTTGCTTTCTGCTCATTTCCAACCACTGGGTCTTTCGAGGTGTTAAGCCAAGCACTTATCAGCACCACATCTTCTGTTGGTGACCATTTGCGTCTCTCTTTATGGCCAGACAAGATCTCTGCATCTTTGTTGCCATCTTCGGTCCATTGTGAACCGAGAATAGAGGCATCAGACGTAGAGACTTCAACAGAAGGCTCACGAGGTTCAGGCTGATAAGGCTCACGAGGTTCAGGTTGATAAGGGTTTTGAGTGATTGGTTGTTGATAGTGTAACAGGTTTTGAAAGCTACAATGTTGAGTATAAGGATCCATACTAGCTTTCGAGAAGGAAAGTATATGGAGTTTTTTAATAGTTTTAGCGGATGCTTAAAATATTTTGTAAACGTTGAAGTTTTAAAGGGTAGTTTTAAGTTGTTAACGTTTTAATGTTGTGGTTAGTTGTTGAAGTTTTAAATGTTTTTTAGTTGTTGAAGTTTTTAAATTGATGAACTTAATACTAACCACAATTTACTAACAACCATCAAAGCTCACAACCAACCATTTACTTCTCGGGTTTCATTTACTAAACAACCAACCATTTATGTAACAACCACTAAGACTACATCTACTTAGACAGAACATTAATTTACCTCAAAGCTAACCACAATTTACTAACAACCATCAAATCTCACAACCAACAATTTACTTCTCAGGTTTCATTTACTAAACAACCAACCATTTATGTACCAACCACTAAGATTGCATCTACTTAGACAGAACATTAATTTACCTCTTTTCAACTGAGAAATGAAAGGCATGAGCTTTAATGCCTCAACCCTCGCGCAACCACATTCTCGACCCTCGCACAACCAACAAACCAAGTTTAATTAATCGTTTGTTCTCTACCACAATAAACAAAAACAACAATAGAAAACAAATAAAAATTGGTCTGATCATGTGAACAATTTTTATTAACACAAAACAACTCAGAACTTAAGCATATCGATTCCACAAGCAATTAATCTCAATTTTACTAAGATAAAAGAACTCAGAACTTAAGCATAACAGCTCCAGAAACAAACATTTCATCTATTCGACAGTGAACAAAACTCTACTAGTAATCTAATAACAGATTTCACCGTTCTCAGTATTATGAAACAATCATAAGAATCTTAATCTACTAGTAATTAATTTTACAAAGATGAGGGATGTGAGCAAAATCGAAATGGAGACAACAGTAACATAAAGATCAAATCATCTTGATGATTTCTTACTGATGAGGGGATTAGACGAGATTCTGGACAGAGAGAGACGACGATTTTCGACGAAGCGACGGCGAGTGTCGGGACTGAGACGAGGCTAGAGAGAAATACGACGAGATTTGATCCAGATAAGCCGAGCTTCGAGAGATAGGTGAGCTTCCTTCGAGAGAGAGAGACGCCGAGATTATCGAGAGAGAGACGAGGAGCCTCGCCAGAGATACGACGACGCTAGACTGAGAGACGACGAGGCTCGACATAGAGACGACGACACTCTAGACAGAACACGAGATATGCTTCAGAATCGCCGAGATTCGAGAGAGAGAAGGCGGAGAAGACGAGAATGCATGCTTTCTGGTTGATCGTCACGAAGGAG